AAGCACTTTACAGCTGCATGCTATATTCCAAGAAGATCCACGTGGACAAAAACACCAGTGCCAAACATGAGGAGTTTTATACAGACCCGGAGTATTTACGCTTGACTGAGACGCTCCTTTTCTTCAATTTGGCGGTAGCGCTCGCGTGTGACGGAGAGGGTTCGAGCATGTCGCAGTTCTGATGGGGTTGAGTCAATCGAAATAGCATTGGTGCCAAGACCAGTGTTTCCGAAGCCGAGACCTGCACGATGATCCAGACGCATGCTTGCTGATATCTGATAAAAAATGATAACGGAAGCAATAACAAACATTCACGGGAGATAATTGTCAGCAGTGGCTGGGCTTACCGGGCAGACGAGCACAAATACTCAGACTAAGACTCGAGAACGTGGGGACCAAAGTTTTTCAAATTTACACAATAAGTGGGTTCAAAGCAGTCAATTATAATCTAGTTATTTTCCATTCCCCCATATGTGCATTCAGACGCTTAGTGAGTGACTGCCCATCACCTAAATATGCTCTTGAAAATCTTAACCACTGAGGGAAGTCAGAATATTCTGGTATGCAAAAATACACTACACCCTCCCATAATAGAGGTTCGATATGTTTGAATTTACCTTATTGTAGGCTTAATCGATTAAGATGAAACTACACGACTCAAAATGGTATAGAAAGCATCGTTGTTGGCACAAAAGTGTTGCCCAATGTATCGTCAATCGAAGAGAAAAGACAAAGATGTGACGCACGGGTTCAGCGATACCGCCTTTCTCTCGTCCCAAACCCTCCCCCTTGCTCCAGCCCATTTTGGCGAGGAGACGAGCACCCACGTTAGTCTCGTCGATGGGTGTGAGGACACTAGCAGGTGTAGCAAGCACACAAGTGGAGGGAACGACCTGTCCACCAGCAGCCATAGCTTTCTCCAGGGCTCGCCGCTTTGCTGCCCGATCCTCGTAGCGTGGCTGCTCGCTGATCACCGCCGCCCTTGGGTGTTGACCTGGCTTGCGACCCTTCTACAGTCCCATAAAAATAAGCATTTAGATGCTACTACTATCTAAATAGCTCAATTTACATTGGAATTAATTATGTAATGCGGCATCGGTCAGAGTAACCAGAACATTTGCTGAGATGCTATGGTGACAAAAAATTCGATTTTGGTCATTACCACCGTACATATTTTGTACCAAAACCAAAGTAAATTCAAGCGATACTTCATAAATCCAATGGTATAACTCCGGAAAGCTGAACATACAATCGCCGGATATTAATTTAAAGGCATTTTAGGAAGGAACTTATAGTACTAACGTCGCACCACAGAGAAGGGCAATAAGTCTTTCGAAATTATCTTGAACAGTTTTAATCTTTTAGCAAAATAAAATTAGAGACAAGAAAGAAGACAAACGAACACTTTTGAATAAAATAAAAAGCCTAAACACAAATACCAATTTACAACACACACTGCGCCAATTAACAATGAATAATTTTTGCATACCTTTCCAGAAATTTGCTAAAAAGCGAGAAAGCAGACTTAAGTACTCATTGAAAAGTCAGAAAGGACTGCCGTCAGAACCGTGATTGGTTACGTGGCTGAGACAAAAGAAGTCGGCTAGTAATTCGACTCGAGAAAACAGATAAGAAAAAGGTGCTTCAAATTCAAACCAATAATTTACAACCGTACATAGCTGAAAAACATTAATTCGCATTAAATACTTGTGCGCATGAGGCTAATTTGATTGACGAGGAGTTATGTAGAATGTGCAAATTTGGGCGATCATGTATACAGAAGCTAACACTTTCACAATCAACCTTTACACATAAGCATGTAATAAAAACAGATCTGCGGAGTACTCCTGATAGGACAATGCCTAACTGGACGGCCGATGACTGAATGGATCAAAAGATGGTCTGTATAAAGCAAGTGAAATAAATGAATTAACAGTTGAATCGATTGCAAGTGCACTCAGCAAACACACTTATTTTCCAAAATAAACAGAAAAATGGCATTGATGCTTATTAATGGATTCAAGAGACGGTTGAATGGACTTGCAAGTTCGTTTAGCAACAAATAATTGCTTGCAAATAACTACAAATCTGCATAACTCAGACAAAAAGCTGAAGCAAATAACTGTAAAACCAAGAAATTGAGGCTTAATTTACAAATCATTCATAGGATGAAATCTGAGGGTAGGTTAAAATCTGGAAGAACATATTAAACTACTCCCACCGTTCACTGCACGCGTGAACATAGACAAGCACACTGGTTTAAACCACAGCATTGATATACTCAATTGTATCAGGAAGCAATGCGTACGGGCTCGAGGACCCAAAAACGGCGAAATACAAATTCGACCCCTCCATCTTGTTTCAAAATCGACAGATCACCGCAAAGAAGAGGCAACAGATCAGCAATTAGCAGTCCAGACGCTTTGGAACATAAAGACCATTCAAACAGCATGAAACAGATCCGCCACATCTCCAAAAATGGGCCTCTCAAATGCAGCAAAAATAGAGGAATCGATCAATGACAAAAATCCAGCATTCTGTGTAAGCGTCAATAGAGGAGTAAATTAAACTTAGAATAAGTCCCAATAGCGTGAATGAATGACACATTAAGTGACTTTCTTATTCCTAACGAAGGGATGATACCGTCAACCAAAAATGAGAAAAATATATCGAGTACAGGATGAATACAAACTCTAACAAAAAGTGAAAGATGTAGAAGCTAGGTCGAAACCCGCATGAGAATAAAATATCCCACCTTTTTGAGACCATACTTGATTTTCACTGCATCAGCGTTTGTTCGCCGAACAGCTTCCTGTGACACTGCGGCGCCAACCGATAATTGTTCGTCATTGTTTTGGACATCTGATGAAGCTGCGGCACTTGCAACAGACTCAATGGCTGCTTTAACCTCTACAGCTTCGCACTGGCCACAGGTCTCGCGGCCTGGGTGAATGTGCACCAGAAACCGATTGGCGCCTATGCGCAAAACGTCCCCGTGATTAAGCTGTTTCTTTTCATTCTGAAACAAACAAACTTCTACTTACTACTTACAAGTAGCTAGAACGCGCTCAAATTAAACAAGACGAACCTTTTCCAGTTTCGATCCGTTAACATAGGTTCCGTTTGAAGTTTTCCGGTCCCGCACAGAGTAGCTCTCATCTGATTTATTAAACGTAATTTCGCAGTGGATCTCGTCAAGGTCCGTGTCTTGAGTGAGATCAAAGACGGGACAATAGTGCCAGTTGCGACCCAGACAGCCCCAACCAGAAGAGGCTTCCTTGGAGGTGATAACGCCAACAGATCCCACGGTGAGACCAATAGCGTTGGAGGCGAGGACCATCAGACGCACCGAAGGCGGATACACTACGGGTGTTGCAGCTATACATGCTGTATTCGACTTCGCCCCTACAGTGTCTGATAAAACAAGGACAGCGATAAACGAGAAGGGGTTTCAATTACCAATGTACAGGCACACGTTACGGTATTTACAAAAAGCAAGGATTCAAAAAAAATCGCGCAGACCGAAATGTCCAAAAGTGGCGCTTGATCCGCACGGTTAACAAAACTCCTTTTGGCGTCCAAGTCACCGTTAATAAAGTCACCTTTTGCAACCACGCATTTTTTCCGTAAGGTCATTCTAAATGCACGACCCGTTCGTTATTCCTACAACCTACCAATGCCTTAATACGTCATTACTTCAAGTTCGGCTATTACAAAACGCATTGGCTCACAATATTTAAGAAATATTTGTTTACCCTTGTCTCTGCGGCTGCTGCGGCGACGTGAAGAGCGTCGACCAGCAGAGGACGAACTATTGTAATCTCTGCTTCGTCTACGCGATCGGTGAGGTGATGAGAATGACGAGGCACTCCTGGAGTAGGAGGAAGAGGAGGACCGGCGACGGTGCCTTCGTCGGTGGCCGGAACGCCTACTACGCCGGCGACCGTTTCGACGACGCCGGTCTGTTGACACAGACGAAGAAGAAGAATATCGACGCCTCCGATCCCTATATTTGTCATCCGACTTCTTGGATGGTCCGGGAAACTATGCGTAGAAGAGAAAACATTTAATGTGTGAGGTTTTTCTGGAAGGATGATGGAGATTCGCGCCCTGATCAACTGTCATCACCTTCGAGATCTGAAAAGATTACGCATGAATGATAAATGGGTGTCATAGACAGCATAAACTATTGAAATTGACTTGATAAAAAACAAACCTCTGACTGGTTTCTAGCTCTGTCTAAGAGGGCCTTGAATTTGCCACTCAATTCAGTGGAAACACGAGAATGATAAGAGTATTCTTGAGTCTCGTTGTCATAACTGTAGTAAATCCCACTTTTTGGTTCAAAAAAGAGTTGATTATCCTAAGATTGTAAAATACATCGGACCAATTGTTAAAACTTACCGGATCGTAATAATAACCACTATTTTTGTCGAAATAAAGACCCGTTTGTTGGTCAAAAACGTAACCACTGTTACTCGTGACGGAATCCGAAGTTTGCTTAAGGATATCAGCTATGGATGCTTCGGAACCTACAAAAGAGAAGTGAAACTGTCCATACAACCCTACCAGCAAAAGCACTTTCTGCAGGTTTAACTTCAGCGACTTCAACATCGACTGTTTGAACATCTTTCTCAAGCGTAGATACAACCGTTGGCGACTGAGTCTTGCGCAAAATTGCAATTTCCTTCAGATACGCCTCTATCTGTTGTCGAAGCAGAGAATTCTGATCGAGTATCTGTTGAATATATGCGTCTTTCTTGATTATATCCTCTTTTTGAAGATGAATTTTGGTTTCCAAATCACTAAGTTTATCTAACACGTCAAACTCCATGATACCTGAAGGGAAAACATGCGATAAAGATGGAGCAACTTAATTGCAACCCATCATCCTACGGAGAATGACGGCCTGCAATTGCGACGCGTATAGTTACATCCGAAAACCTCATTGCAAATCATGTCTAAACACCTCAAAGATGCATGACTAGTTAGAAGATCTAACGCAAAATTAATTACTTAAATCACTGCGAGATGTAGCCAGGTATGACAGTAACTACTAACAATCTTACAGATAAGGAGCACTTACTAAGAAACTCGAATGATTGACACTGGGAAACTTAACCACATTAATTCGAAAACAGAATGACGAAGCCCGCAATTGATCAAATCAGTCCCGAATTGCAGGAGTCCACACTGAATAGGAAACACATAAAAACGCGCAGGTAGTACACCCATCAAAACAAAGGTCTTGTTGTAAAATTATGTA